TGATAGGTAAATGTGGTATAATTGCCAATGAGACAACTTTCCACTAAAGTTCAAATGAAGTGGAATAAGCGATCATTAGCAACTGTATGGCCTTCAACAATGACAAAGACTCATACCACAGAGTCGACTATAAAAGGACTTGACATGAAAAATATGAAATAATTCAACAGAGAAAACAAACGGTCAAATTAACATTTTTACGAAAAAGAAAAATAATACACATGAACCAACAAAAACCACTAAACTACAGGCTTCTGAATTGGGACAGGCACATACATAATATGATGGCGGGTTTACGACCACTTTTTAATATGATATAATCATGAACCATGCCCTATATAAGATTGACAAGACGAGGAAGAGTTTTACGGGCTAGTTCAAAAAGTTACAGTCCAAAAAAAACCGTGCCCCTCTACCCTACAGACACGTTATACAGCATGTTCAGACTCCTCTTTAATAAATCTCCTTATTGTCTCATGCTTAACGAACAATTATTAGCAGCAAACACAAGTTTTTAAATATTTGGGGATGGTGCAGAAAAGTCGAACACGAAGGGCGCAGTCTTGTTATTTCAGAATGTAAAATTGAAGATTCGCATGAACAAATCATTTCACTATTCACGTACTTTGAATATAATCGGAGGAAAAAAATAGCAACAAATACTTAAAATGTGACATTTCAAAAATAAACTGTACTTAAAAACAATAGCAATAAATACCTAATTGTAACACAAATAATAAACCATAAGGCTCCATTTTTTTTTTATAATATTATGTAATTTTGCAATTTTTGATTTATTTTTCATTTACGATTTTCCTAATAAAAATATATGTTTCTAATCTTTTTTAATCAGTATACGTGGCATTTTGTATGTGGTCATTAATGCGTTACAAAGATAATTGTTAACTAAGCAAACACACAACCAAAATAAAGACAAAAAAATGTATAAAAAAATCGAAGAGAACAATAAAAAAATGTTAAAATAGGCAACATTGGTTAATATAGTAAAACATTCAACGTGTTCGAAACTTTGAACCTATCATGCATATCTCATTGAAGAATTGAAAAGTTGATAGATATGAAATGAAAAAGTAAACAAGTTCAACATTATATAGTTAATTTGTGTGCGTATTTGAGTTTGTATGTGGAGGTCTGTGAAATATATGACTGTATTATACAGACAAATAATTATAAAATTAACATACCTAAATGGGTGTTATAAATATATCATTTCTTTGGAAAAAGGAAGGTAAATGGTTGCATAATTTTATAATGTTAAGCTATGTGACAAATTTCTTTAAATGAATTGAATAGTGATAATTGTTTCGTCGGAAAATCACCAGTACACAACCAAACAAACATACTGTGTAGAATACATATATTTGATCCTGACGAAATAAAGATTATAGAATATTTGAATTGTTGTAACAGGAACATATATAATGGCATTGTACATGTATATAACATGTATTTCAGTGGATATTCTGTAAATCACACATTCAGTACTGTCGTCCTTGACAGGACCCGATTTGAATTTGTCGAAAGTCTGATCAAGATTCTGTAAGTCGTGGATGGAATTTGAAATTTTAATTAAAACTTGTAAAAAACTTTTTATTTAATCACGGCAACAATCATATCTTGTGTTGACGCCGCATCATGCGGCGTTCACACAGTGCCGATTATGGCTCCAGTTTGAGATCAGACAGCCCTAAGTCACAAAAGGTTAAAATGTCGGATTACTATCCTTAAGGTTCATCATAACAAATGGATTTCCACCTCAAAAACTCTTCTGAGTACAGACTTACCTGTCCAGTTTGGAAAGTTTTAAGGCCTGGCATCCACTAGATATTTAAAAGTTATATGCATTTTGTGTTGTAGAAAGATAAAATCTTTTTTTTTTATTTTGATGGGCATTTTTTTCCCCCGTTTATGCAGAAGGTGTAAAATAAACTAAGATGGGATACAACTTTGGAATGCTCCCTCTCAGGTAAAAACTGTATTGTATTGTATTGATTGTCCTTGATTGACATGGACAATAGACAGACACTAGGTTTTTTACACAACTATAGGTGAGTTAAAGGGTTTAAGTATTAGATACAATTCAAAGGTAACAAAGAAACAGGCCGGTAACAACCGTTACCGGATAGTTTTTCTGCACGGGTAGTCAAGTGCAGACAAACTATTCGGTAGGTTGTTTCCGGCCTGTTTTTTTTTCTTTTTTTTTTGTTACCTTTGTTTTGTATCTGACTTGTACGACTTTCAAGAAAGAAGTAGTGCATTTTGCATTTAGAAGAGGTAGCAAAACTAAACATTTGAGAAACTTAAATGGCCATAAACCAGTTAGTTTAAGTTACAGTTTAAACACATATTTTTTTTTCATTTCCCATCATCCGAGAGTTTTAAAAAAAAAATCAAGAATCTAATAATTTTATATAAAGAACCATTTCAAGTAAAAGATGAATGTTGTACGCATTTGAGACTTTTTAAAATGCAACTTCGCAAGTACGTAATATATATTAAAAAAGATTGCAGATGTAAGCAAGCTAACATATGATTTTTATTGGGGGAAAACGGAAAAAAAGGGGGGTGATAAATGAATTTAAAATAAACAGTTTGATCCTATTTTGGTTGAAAAAATGCAGGATATGCCAATCCATCCCTCAATTCCCCCTTTAAAAAAATCGTAAAAATCGCACGTTTGCTGCCAAATACATGAATTCAATATGTATGAATTAAACTTATATATGAATTCAATAACAATATAAATGTATCAAAAGAATTTCCTACTTCATTAGTGAATGAAATGTTATGAGAAAATGGATTTTGTCTTGTTATTAGATATATATAGGCATATATTTTGATTTTTGTTTTAAATCATGCTAATATGTTTTTATTTGTCTCTGATAGTGTTGATCAGGATTAAACACGTGTTACTATATAGATGATCCATCGCAGCTTACCGTCCAAAATTGATGACATAAGTTGAATGATTTTCTTCAAGATTAGCTGCATATTTGAACATGTATTACACAAACACTTTTTATTGATAGGATTAATCGTGCATTGGTGAGTTGATAGGGATTTTATCTTTTGATAAGATTTGATTTTTTTATGTATATTTCCTGTCTTTTTTATTGAAATATAAAGAGCGGTATCAGCATTTCTGTACTTCCAGCATTGTCCAGAATACAATCATGTCAAGAAAATTATTTAGTTTTTCAACGCTATCACCCAAATAATTTTCTTTTTTTTAAATTAGCACTTTTATATACGGTTTTCGGAAAATCAGGAATCAGAACATTATTTTGTCATCTGCTTGACCACAGTATATTTTTTTCTCATAAAAATGGGGATCAAAATATTTTTTAGGAAAAAACAATAACCCCCCCCCCTTTGAAATTAAATGGTCAATCCCTTAGTGTACTGATATGAATAGTAATTTACTGCAATTGTATGAAAAAAAAGTAAGTGATGCCAACGTAAACGTTTGAATAAAAAAGACAGGAAATATGTCGGTGAAACAAAAAGTTCAAATCTAATTGAAATTTAAAGTGCCCATGAAATTACTGATCATGCACGAGTGATTCTATTCATAAAAAGTGTCCGCGTAACAACTAAAAAGAGTCCGTGTATCATCTAAAAAGAGTCTGTATAACACCCGTTAATGTACTGTTTTTCTATAGCTCTGCTGGGGACAAATTCGTACAACTACTGAATGGACAGTATCAAAGCAATTCAGTGTTTGTTTATTTTTACACCTTCTGCAGAAAGGAAAACAATGCCAATTAAAATCCCAAAAAGATTATGTCTTTCTGAAACAAAAAATGCATTTATTAGTTATATATCTAGTGGATGCCAGGCTTTAAAACTTTTCCAACTGGACAGGTAAGTCTGTACACAGAGTAGATTTTGGGGTGTAAATACAGCCATTTTTGTCCATTTGTTATGATGAACCTTAATGATGTGGAATGTCCTATCATTGTCTGAACGCAGTAGTATACGTTCATAACAGATTCCTACGGATCGGAAATAGACTGGAGAGGTCGGCCAAGTCTCCCGGATAATAAGGTCCGTCTCTTAACTTACTTAAGACAGGCATGCTGCAAATACTCACGAGGTTTATGATTTGGGACCTACATACGACACCTACTGAAGAGGTAAATAACTTTGGACCTACTAACAATAATTACTGAGAAGGTTTTCAACTTGGGACCGGCATGCAGTAACTACTGGCAGTGTTTTTGATCTTGGATTGGCATATGGCAACTAGTCACGAGTTAACGACATGGGAACGGCATACGACACCTACTGAAGTGGTAACTTACTTGGGACCGGCGAAAATTAACTACTGACGAGGATCGCAGAGTTTGGACCGAAATATGACATTTACTGACAACGTTTTTGACTTGGTACCGGCATACGGCACCTACTAACGACTTTACTTACTTGGAACTAGAATACGGCAACTAATGACGAGTTTTCTGACTATGGACAGGCATACAGTAACTCCTGCTGAGGTGTCTGACGTTGGGCCGGTATACGATAACTACTGATAAGGTTTCTGACTTGGGATCAGCATACGACAACTACTGACGAGGTTTCGAACTTAGGATTGGTATGCGGCAACTACTGACAATGTTTCTGACATATGACCGGCATATGGTAATCACTGACGATGTTTTTGGCTCGGAACCGGCAAAGCAACTTCTGACAAGGTTTCTGACTTATGACCGCAAACAGAAAATACGGACAAGGCTATCATGGTTAATTACATATGACCTGAATATGAAATTGTTGTCTTATATAAGTAAATTCCACATCTTCTATCATTGATATGGAACTGCCATTCGAATAATTTTGTCAATGGGTTGTTGTCTCATATACGCATACCAAGCATCTTCTTTTGTTCATATTGAATTGTCTTATGGTTTATTTTGTTAATGGGTTTTTGTTTCATATACGTAAACATGACACCTTCTATTATTCATCGTGAACCGTCTTTACATCAATTTCGTTGGTATGTCGATTATACTAATCTTATTTGAATGACCAGATGTGACAGCAATACAACCATCTCCAATAAATACCACATCGACCACTTTACCAATATCATTGATTTCGAAATCTTTTGATCCGTTAGATTTGAAAACTTTTATTTTCTCTTGTTCATAACAAGAGAATACCATCCTACCCTTAGGTAGCAGAGAACAACCTTGGACATCTGATAACTTTGTATTGATACGTTTCTGTAACGTCAAAGCCAGATTACCGATATTTCTGGTTGGAACAGCTAACATAATCTGGGCTTCTCTGTCTTTTTGTTTCTGAATGGGCAACTGATATGGATCAGAACTGACATTAATTTCTCCAAACTTCGAAACACTGGCTGTAATTTGCTGTAATAGCTGGTTAATTTGGCATGATATATTGACTTTATTTACGATGCCACTATTGGCAATCGATTGAATATTTTTTTCTTCAACTGCCAAACTCTTTTCAAGTACTTTTATGGTTAAAAATGCTTGAAGATCGGACGCTTTCTGTTTAATATTATCAATGTTTACCTGTAACTCAGTGATCTCTTTTTCTTTAAGATTTAGAGAAGACAATACATTTTGTATTTTACTACTTTCTTGATGTTGAACTGCCATTAATTCTTTCATCAAATCAGCCTGAATTTGATCGAGGTGATGATTTACCTTTGTCCTGGCATATTTTATTTCTGCTTCTATTTTTCTTCTCTTGTTTTCTAGCAATTCTAAATTTTCTTTCCTGTTTGTGCTGAGAATTTTGATATTTTCAACGACTTCGCGCAGGGTTTGTTCGATTTCATAAAAGGCATTCGAAGTTTTGACCTCTTGTATAATTTCATTTATGTCGGTTAAACCTTTACATTCTTTGTGAGATTTCTTACATTTCTTACAACACGGACAATCATGTTTTGTACAGAAAAACCTGTATTCTTCTTTATGTATTTTACAGACTTGAGCAACTTGCAGCAGTTCGGTCGGTAACTTCGTATGCTCGGCGATTGAATATGTTCCGTGGTTTTTAGTATCCTTGGAAATACTGTGATATTCTTTACAATCTCCGCATAGTCCTTCGTCACATTCAGAACACCAGACTACTGAGAATTTGGCCGTTTGACGATTATCACAAACACTACATAGACTGCAATTACTAGCCATGATCCTGCAATATATATTAATAGATGTGTCACGTTCCTATATTGATACATTATATTCAAACCGGCAACAACCATGAAACGTGCTTGCTAAATTGATAATTTGATTGTTTTTTACTTAAGGATGTACTTAGGTGAGGTTTTGGAATTTGTGTCAGATGTTCGGACTCCTTTGTGTTTTTCCATACAAAACAAGGTAAAATATTTTGCCCCTATTTATCTTTTAATATAAGACTTAATAGCTCATAAAAGGTCATTTGACCAAATTTAAGCAGATTCTTGATTTTATTTCTTTTGATTTAAGACCCAAATATACCAATGCCAATATAAGGTAAAAGTCCGAGTCAGCCTTTTCCCGCCATATTTTCTAATTCAAATATCTCGAAAAAGAGCTCCATGACCTATCAATATTTTTAGCTTATTTTGATCCTTAATTCATACTCTTCCAGCTAATAGTATCAATTTTAAATTCTTGATTTATTTAATTTCACCTAAGATCAACTAAGTACATCCTTAAGTACTTAGTGTCCAGTTGCAAATATTTATTGCATATTCAGGACTAGAACAAATAGTATCGAGTGTATATATTCAATTGACACCATGTCCCACTTGCACTACCACATTTCTATGTTCAGTGAACCATGACACTTGGGTCAAAAAGGTAATCGGGCATACTATTTAAAAGAATCACATCACAATGAGTATGTGTGAATAGTTCTTATATTGTTGGCGCGAGAGTACATTTCTAGCAACTATAGAACTTTCATATTTTTTTTATTTTTGTAATTTAACTTATTCATATGAAAAAGAACTGTGTGTCTCTCCTTGGCAACCTCTTTTTATAAGAGTCATATGAGTCGAATTTCCTTCAGACACTTGTCAAAGACAAGAAGATCAAAGAAGCGAGATCATTTAATTCACATTTAGATACATTCATTTGATGTTGTTCTTTCCATGAACAGTTCAACCTTTTCGGACTGGTTTCCATAATTATATCTCCAAGAACTTGAAATTAAAGAAACAACAAAAACGGCTTCCTCTGCATCATATTTAGACTTATACCTCTAACTTGACATAAGAGGTCATCTCAGTATCATAATTTATAACAATCGAGACAATTTTGATTTTGAAATTATAAATTTTTCCCACCTAAGCAGCAATATACCAAAATTCACCTGCATATGGGATTTACATTTCAAAACTCATTCGGTATTCAAGATATGAAAGCTCCTACTTAGACTTTATAAAACTTCATCACGATTCAGTGTCTGAGCAGAAAGTTTACAAACCAGGGTTATGTCAAAGAACGTCTCGGCCTTTTTTTAAAAGAGGTTAATCCGAAAATACCAAGACCTTATTGATAAATATTCCGTTTCAACTTCACAAATAATACACGTTGGTCTTGAAGTATAGATTGAAGGTACTGACGTTGTTAATCACCTTAATAACGTGTTATCGAATTGTCCGTTTCTATGTATGTTGACGTTTGTTTTTGTTGCAGTTCAGTGTTTCTGTTGTTCCGTTTTTTTCCTCTTATAGTTGATGTGTTTCTCTCGGTTTTTAGTTTTAACCCGGATTTATTTCTCTTACTCGATTTATGACTTTTGAAAAGCGGATACTACTGTTGCTTTTATTTAAAACGTCGCATTGTTGATGTGTTTTCCTCGGTTTTAGTTTGTAACCCGAATTTTGTTTTCGCTTAATTAGTTTATGACTATTGTACAGCGGTAAACAACTATTGCCTTTATTTACAGTGTTCTTTTTATTTGCCCTTGTATATTGTAAACCTTTACTGTTGAGTCCATCATTGGTAATATGCTCTAGCGTGTCTTGGTATTTATACATTCCGCCATCGTTTTTTTAAAAAAAAAATTTTAACTTTTAACTTCCTGCATTCCTGGTGGCGGTTGGTCTTGATGTGCGATTTGGACACTGTTGTTTCTTATATGTGTATTTGTTTTAATTTTTAGTCAGTTGTTTTTTGTGTCTTTGGTGTAGAGTTAGACCCGTTTAAATTGCAGGACGAATTCATAAATACTGAATGTGATGTTGATGATATATGTTAAATCATCAAGAATTTTTTTCTGATATATTGCCGAAAACTACCCAAAGAAAACTAACTTGAAATAAAGCTTACATAAACGACACCTTGAAACTATATATATATATATATCCCCACGACACTTACCAAGGAGGAAATCCTGGATAATTATAGGTCAGTTCTATGTTCCTTTTGGAATTTCAACAAAAAATAAAGAACAAGATCTTCCTTCACTTATTGGATACTTAACGTACACAAGCGTCCTACAAACAATGTTATATTGGTAGGTCTTCCAAGTGCTCAACGAAACCTATTTTTAAATTAATAACATCAATTTTTTCAGCAATCAAAGGTGGGCGTCAAAGTTATTGTGAAACTACCTATTCTAAAGGCGGCGTGAATCAGATATGGATACTTAAAAATCATAAGATCTTTTAGAGTACACACTATCCAAGACTTTTCAACTTGCAATAATATTTAAACATTTGACTTTTCTACACATTCAAGTGTTCCCCTTATTCAAAGTAAAAGACACATTGAAAGAGTTGGTCCTGCTTTGTTTCATAAATCATAAAAAAAAAAATGGCCAACGTGGATACAAGTATCTTGTCTATGGGAGGGATAAATCTTGAAAAATCACCCAGATTCAAATAAAATTAAGTTAAACTGATATTATCTTGATGCTTAATTTCTTGATTGACAACATATTTGTTATGTTTGAAGGACATGTTTAAAAAAAACAACTGTTAAAGGATACAACAGATAAAGTTAAGTCTGCTTCACATCTTGACTTGCAACTAGAAATTGATAATGAGGATTCGGTTAAATATAAAACTTTGCTACAAAAGAAATGATTTCAGCTTCCCAATTGAGAACATTCCATTTCTATGTACCAACATCATAGCAGGGCCTGCATACGGAGTACATATCTCTCAGTTGATACGCTATTCCAGGGTTTATATTTCCTATAATGATTTCCTTGATAGAGGATTGCTGCTCACAGGGGAGCTTTTAAACCAACAGTTACAATTGGTGTAAATTTTACAAATGCCATCAAGAGTTGGTTGGCCGTAATGGAATAGCTGATTTACAGATGACGACGTATAGGTTCCAATTATCATAACTGCAATCCAGCCGCATCCCCGAATGTAAACGATTGAATAAGACTTTTCGCATGGTTTGTACTTACAGGAGCAACAGGAAGGGTGCCACATATGGAGCAGGATTTGCTTACTCTTTTGGAGCACATGAGATCCCCCAAGTTTTTTGTTTGTGTTGCTAAGGCTATAGTTTTCTATGATATGTTTTGTGTGCTGTTGTTTGTTTGTTTGTCTGTATGTCTGTTGTTCTTCTTTGTCATCCACGACAGTGTTGTCAGTATATTTTCGACTTATGATCTTGAATGTCCCTTTGTTATCATTCGCCTCTCCCTTGCCAGTTCCGTGTGTTTGTTACTTTTGTCTGCTTTGTATTGATTTGATGAGTTTAGTCCTTTTCAACTGATTTTTATAGTTAATATGTTGTGCTTACACCATTGTCTTAGGTTAGGGTAGGGGAGGGTTGGGCATCCGCAACATGTTTAGAATCGCAACATTCTGCAAGTGTCTCTCCACATTTAGGAGCATGTAATTCAGTGGTTGTCGTTTGTTGCTGTACTAGAATATAATATTTGTTTATCGTTTATCTTTTCATACACAAATCTGACAATTTGTTTATCTCGTTTGAATTGTTTTACATTTGACACTTCGGGGCCTTTTTTATCTGACTTTGCGGAAATGAATTTGCTCACTGTTGAAGGCCGTACAGTTACCTAAAGTTGTTAACTTCTCAGTTAGTTGGTCTCTGGCAGATTCTTGTCTCATTGGCAATCATATCACATCCTCTTTTTTTAAATATTTACACAGGAATTGTCGCGTATACCTATTACATCTTTTTTGGTTGTTCACCAAATTTGTCAATATAACGAAACTAAAACAACTGTCATACAAATGGGAGGTTTAGCTAGCTATAAAACTAGGTATAACCACCAAAATGCCTGTACCAAGTCACAAATAGGACAGTTGTTTTCCCACTTGTTCCGATGATTGATGTTTTATTTTGTCAGTTTTTATGGACTTCCCCTTTTGAATATGCCTTTTAATCAGGTATTTTTATTAATACTTTATCTTTTATCGAATTTTGAAATCACTGTTTAGAACTGAAGATTATTAGTTGGGGTTGTGATAAAATGACAGAAATTTTCATATCTGATGTAAAAGTAAAACAACGCGACGTTTTAAATAACAGTTATAGTAGTATCCGCTGTTCAAAAATCATAAATCGATTAAGAGAAAATAAATCCGGGTTAACACTAAACCGAAAGAAACACATCAACTATAAGAGGAAAACAACGGAACAACAGAAATACTGAACTGCAACAAAAACAAACGCCGACATACATAATGACGGACTATTTAACAACAACTGCCCTATTCCTGACTTTGTACATAAAATTTTTAAGAACAAATGCTGGGTTGAACCTGGTTTTATGGCTAGCCAAACCTCCCGCTTATATGGCAATGTAAAAAAACACCGCTAAAAGGACAACACTACGTGACAGGAATACAGTACAAACAAACGCAAGAACTCTCAACACGGAGTAATACATAAATAGATAATATAATAGTACATTACAACATGTAAATCTCAGAAAAACAACGTAATTCTCAAATAAACACCATAGGACACCACCTACTGCGCGTCACATGAATAGATCAACGCCACAAAAAGTGACGTATATTATTACAGGTAATTTGAAATTCATACAATTATATGGAATGAGATCCAAAAATTTTTTTTTTTCAACTTCAGATATTCTATTTCACTAATAGTTGTTAACACATCCCCTTAATGTTACAACAATGGCACTAAAATTCTTCCCTGTATTGTTAATTACCAATAAAACCAGGGGATTTCATTGGCAAACTTCTTATAAATCTCTATATATATATAAAAAGTCTAAATTGAAAACAACGTTCAAACCTATGATTGCGTTGGATAAAACCGCAATTTTTATACGTGTGCATGTAAACCAAATTTCTTGGTAGAGGGGTCTAATGCAGCACAAACAACAATTTCCAAAAGACCAAAAAAAGTGAAAAAGTCTATTTTAACAAAACGCATTTGATTAACAGGTCGAAGAAAAGTCTAGAAAAAGATCTAAAAGTTTCTATTAAATTTAGTCAATGTTTTATTTCATCTTTAGATCTTAAAAAGAGAGTTGTATCATCTGCTAGTTGTGAGATTTTTAGGCTATGAGTTTTTTTATCGATATTTATTTATATTCCTTTCAGATCAATATTATTCTTTATTCTACAAGCCAGTATTTCGACTGATCAAATAAACAATAAAGCGCTTAAAGGACATCCTTGTCTAATTCCCCGTTGAATCCCGAAGGTTTCAGAGATCCAGCCGTTATTTAAAATACATTCTTTTATATCATTACATAGTGTTTTGACCCCCTTTTGAAAGACTCATTAAATCCAAATTTGTTTAATGATTCCATCAAAAAGTCCAATTCTAGTGAGTCTATAATATCTTGAATTTGGCGTACGTTGAAACATATATTAATCGATTTTTAACATAACCGTTTTGATCTCTGTGTATAATTAGGGGGAAGGGGGGGGGGGGGTAGGATTTATTTAATCTTTGTGCTAAAGTATATGAAATAAGTTTTACATCTGTATTCAACAAAGTAATTGGACGGTAGTTATCTAGGGACAAAGGGTCATTTTTTTTTAAATCAATGCTATTATCCCAATCTTTTGGGTGTCAGATATAGTTTCTTTATCATAACATGTGTTAGAAACGTTCAATGTAATATGTTTTAATTTTGGCCAAAATTGTCCATAAAACTCGACTGTTAAACCCTCTTTGCCTAGAGTTTTGTTTAGTTTCATATTATAAATAGAAAATGTTAACTCTTCTATGGTTAATTTACCATCTACTTGTTTGCTTTCACAAGGAGTTAAATATAGGTCAATGGGGGTATTATCTATGTATGTCTTTAAAATTTCAGTTTCAGGACATGTGCTTTTGTACAGAGATTTATAATACTCTTTACTTATATCTAAAATTTCACTTTAATCTACAGTAACCTCACCATTTTTCGTCAATAATTTATTAATAGATCTTTTAGCTTGTCTATTCTTTTCTAGGGATAAAAAGTACTTAGTATTTTTCCCCCTTCCTCGACTCATTTTATTCTTGATCTAACTTGATCTAACTTGAGCTCCTTTGGCTTTTAAAGACGATATATCTTCTAATTTTTTTTTTCTAAATTTATTATTTGAATATAAAGATCATTATTTTTTCCATCAGATTATTTGTCTAATCTTTCAATTAAAAGTTCTAGTTTGTTTTCTATTACTAAAATATTATTTTTCCTTAATTTGGCTTTAGATTTACAGTATTGGATAGTGGACTCTCATATGTCAGTTTTTAGCAGGTCCCACTGATTTAGGACATTCTCAAAATTACAATTTTGCTTATTATTTTTCAATTAACTTATTTATTAGTTTATGGTACTGAGTATCAGTTAATATACTAGTATTCATAATAAATTATCCTTTACCACGATTGTTTACAAAAATGTCTAATTTAAGCGAAATAGCTAGGTGGTCTGTGAATGAACTTTGTGCTGGCCTGATGTCAGTAGATAACGTATTTATGCGTGCTTGTGTGTATATTATAAAAAAAAAAGTCTATTCTACTAGCTTCATTTGTAGAATTTTTCCTTTTCCATGTGTATTGTTTTTTATCTTTATTTAATTGTCTTCAAATGTATCAGTTTATGTGTTTAAATTAATTGTTTTAACCATCGAGTGGCTTTTTAAACTTTTATATAGTTTATTATTTTTTGTATCTTAAGCTGAGAGTAGATCATTCAAATCCCCCTACTATTAAAGCACCAAAAGTGTGCTCTTAAATTAATTTACTTACCTTTTTTATAAAATTGGTTTCTTGCATGAACTTCATTAGGTGAATACAAGTTTAAATAAGGTGAAGATCTTATCTTGAATTTCCATATTGACTATGATAATACTCCCTTATTTATTACAAAATTCATTAACTAATTTAAAATCAAGTGATTTGTTAATAAAGAAAGATACTCCCCTCGAGTTTGTTGTTCCTAGGCTATGCAGATGTTTGCCATGGAATTCATTGTTAATTTGCTTTGTCATATCTTGTGACAAATGAGTTTCTTGCGTATTAAAAGAAAACATTTCTGTTGTTAAAATCAAGAGAATAATCTAAAGCGTTTTTCTTTTCTCGCTAGACCTTGACAATTTAGTGAACAAATGTGAAGATTTTTTGTTTTCATTATAATATTAAAGTATTGTAATCGTTAATCTCTTAAACGATCTATTCAAAACTATCAACATTTGAAAACCTGTTGTCTATCGTGACTCAGATAAACACAAAGTTATTTTTAGACCTTTACATAGGATTGGTAAAGTTAATTTTTATGTTTAGCTTCAAAACTGACTTTCCGAAAACGTTTTGTTTTTTGTAAACATTAAAATTGTCACATACTGTAATTGTAATAGCTAGGGTGGTTCTTGTGTATTTACAACTTTTATTTTCTTTTTCAGATCTGGAATAAATCGTACCACGGAATGTTATTATTAGCCAAATGACCTTACTCAAAGTGCTATATTCTTGAACTATGTCTATAACGCAAGTGTGTGGGATATTAAATTTCAAGAATTGGAGAAACTTTTTGGATGTTTTTTTTTAAGTTTACCATAATCGTGTGGCAATATGTAGTAGATTCAGCATATATTTTTAGATTGGTGATTTCAGCTGATGTTTTCTGTTCATATCCTGAAGAAAAGGACTTCTTGAGATTGACGTTTACTGAAATTGTACTCTTAAATTAAAGGAGACTGACTGTTTTTTACTTCATTTAAAGAATCTCTTTTTTGATAAGGGATTTAATGTGTGCCAATGAAAAATTTCTGAATGACTTTGACACATGGTGATCATGCACTTCTTTATTTCAGTGCTCATTTGTTTGAGATGCGTGTGGAACAAAAATTTCCGTCCAAACAGTTTTAACATCTTTAAATTCATACTCTCTGCATTTTTCATTTGTAAATTTTATATATGCGAAATTTACTACATTTTTAAATAAACAAATATGCTGATAAATCCCTTTTGAATGTATGCTATCTACAATACAGACATCACATTCACAAATTATGATTTTGTTCACTTGATAAACACATTCTATGTTTGTGCTACAAAGTAAACAAATATATATATATACAATATATACAATATAAAAACCATGAAGATTTATAATTGGTAGTAATTATATACATGAGCTTAAGATAACGTTTTTTTTTTCACAGGTTCTTCTCTCTTGTGAAGCTCATCAGTAGGAGTACTTGCAGTTTGTTTAGTACGCGTTTTTTGCTCTTAATTGGTTTTATGTGATGGAGTTCTAAAGGTATCTGCTAGGAACCGTTCCATGCTCGGCTGATCATTATCAATATTTTGTTTTTCTCTTTTATTTTTTGTCCGTTTAGCTTTTTTAACATGTCTTTCTTGCTTTTTTCTCACTTTGGTTTGATTGATCATCAAGATTGTTAATGACATGATTGTAAACATCATTACTTGGCTGCTTATTGAAGGTGAATCTAAGTGCCTTTTTTCTGCATCAGCTGCTCTTTGTTTTTTTTTTTTTGCTTTTCATTTTGACTGCTTTCCGGACGGATAGAAATGACTGAATCTGACTAAGATTCTGATTGGCTATCTTCACTGGAATAACTAGAGTCTGCTTTGCAGTATTTTGCCGTATAACCAGATTTCCCGCAAGTCTGTCTACCAAATCGTCTGGGCAAGTAGTGTAATAGCTTGCTTTATGACCGCTGCCACCACATGTCCTACACACCCAATCGTTTGGACACTCAAAAGATTTATGTCCCTCTTGTAGACATTTATTACATGTAATGTTTGTACGGGTATCTACCTGACCTCGATGGAGAACTACTGCTCTGTATTTACCAATAAATAAAGTTTTTGGCAAAGGATTGAGTATTGGGTCACATATCGCAATGCAATCGCCAGTCTGACAATTTCTCACACGTCCATCAACTCTTAGCCTTTCACGAAACAGTGTATGTACAACTCAGTTACAAATCCTCAAGGGCTCTCTGAATTTGACCGTCGTCCGCTGAGCAAGGTATATTGTTTTATTCTAACACGAACATTGTTAGGATTTTCATTTTCAGCAACCATGGGATATTTTACATATGTTTGTATTAGCTTTTTACGAATAACAATACCATTTGTAAGTGTTTTATCTCGGTCTTCATGATTGTCAAAATATAATATCCATTATCCTCTTACCCTTTGTAATCCTTTCAAGTGGCTGGGGTTCACAAGATTTCCAACAGCTCTGTATAGCTCGATATGAGTGAGGTATTGGTCTTGTGAGATCCAAAAATTCGCAATTATTTTCACAATACAAGTTCAAATAAGATTTAATACCTAGCTTTTTAAAATTACTTCTAAATGATCTTAACAGCCCCCTAAATCAGATTCAATCACTTTAGTTGGCGAAAACGTTCCTTCCTTTTTATAAACATCTGAAAGTTCTTTAACTGATACGAACGTTGTTTTTTTCACTCGATAAAATATGGACCCTACGCAAAAAAACAAAACAAAACGGATATATATATATACAAACGAATTTATTATCAAAATGTATTTATTAATGCAATAAAAATAATTTTATCAATGTTTTTTTATATTTCGAAATTAAAGAATCCATGTATGCATTTTCTTCAACATTTGCATTCGTACTTATGTATGTCTAAATAAAGTTGTATTTTAGAAGAAAAATGAACTGATATTAATGCATATGTGTTTCTGGATATTGTGTTTTTCCATTTGATTAATACTTGATTTTGAATAATGATAAGAAAGATGACGAAAAAGCAATTAATACCATAGTAAAGATTATTTATAATATAAGGGATCTTGGAAACAAAATTCCATTCTGTCTTTTCAACATTTGATCAGAATAGAATTTTTTAAACAAGAAAAACATGTTTGAGAATTTTCAATTGATGTTTACCCAAAAATTTTCCTCATATATACTGATTGCAACGAATCAACATTTTTTTTATATCTATCACGACCCAATAGAGAAAATGAATCATATTATAAGAACTTCAAAATTCACGATTGAAAACTTTTAACTATTCATGTAATGACGCCAAAGACTGATTCATATTATAAATCATTTAACTAAAATTCTTAATGTTTTTCTCAATCTTAATGTTCTTTTGAAAAACCAAAAGATAACATCGTATAGAGAGTTTTTTTTTTGGAACGTAGAACAGGTTGAATGTCACACATTACATTAAACTGTAAGCATGCAAATATACCAGGCATAATCCATTGTAGGATGTGTCTTCAATGGCTTTTCGTGCAAACTGTAAGCATTTTTCATTCTTTCCTAACATCAAATCGGAACAATAGTTTTTTTTTAAATTTCTGGATCCGTCATGTATTTCTTTAAATTTGATGAAATTTTGCCTTGCTACTTCATTAACATTTAGTATTAATGTCGTTACATGTAATATTAACCATTAGACATATAACAACAAAGAGTCAATGTAATCAATTGTTACTTCCTTTTGTCGAAAATAAAATATAAACCGTGCCAAATACTGAACAGTTGTCTTGTTATAACTGTCTCTATTATCCAAAAAGTCTTTCCGTCAGTACCGTATTCATATTTATGAAGTTCCGAACACTTAGATAACAGATCGACTACACAATTCCGACCATTTCATTGCCTAGAACTACTTGTTCTTAACACAACATCATTCTAGAAACTAGCAAGTAGCACTGAAAAGTAGTAACGATTTTGTTGTTTTATGTTTACCAAACTGAGTATACTTTTTTTTCTAATGTATTGAAATGAAACACATTTTTTGCTGCTCATTTTTAAAAAGACATTTTATAACGTATGTTAGTGTATATGTGTAGCCTTCTACACTTTACCCTATTGAAATAATGTTTACAAATCTAACCCAGGTGTAGCAAATCATTTTCTTCATATTTAAAGTAAGAAAGAAAATTTTCATAATAATTAATTTCGGAAATTGGTATTTTTAATAAAGTTTACTTAACTTTTAAAAACATTTTTGTAGATATAATAACTGACAGGACAAATGCTATTAACCGAAGATTATTTATTTGTGAACGGAAGAATTTCTTTTATATTTTCTGTTTTATATTTTGGACTATATGCATCCGTTAATGATATTTCTAATTTGTCAACCTTAAAATTTTAAAAGGCTGCATGCAGGTTATATCAGTAATAGTATAAGTTTTATTGGCAAACATCATTTCCGGTCTTTATTTGTTTGTATCCCATAATACAAGGTATACCTTGTTTCCTAATTTCTCATTCAAACTTGATATAATCTTGATTCATTGTCGTTGTATTACCTGTCTATAATGTATTAACCTTTTATAAGTACTGAAACAGCGTTTGTGATGAAAAGTATTTCACTGAAAGCATTTAGTCCACACAACAGTATACCAAATGAATAATTTTCTTTGGGTAAAAATGTCATGTTTTCGTATCCCAAACTTAACTCGTACATGGAAGAATTGTTTTTGGTGGTTAACAAGTTGAAAATATTCATAAAATTACACTATATAAGGTACAACACTCGAGCAATAAACACGATCGTTCGTGAAAAAATCATTAAAGACTGAAAATGAGAAAACAGCGAAAATCAAACAGAAGGCCAGAGAACACAGTTATTTCGTTGTGCATTTATTTTAAACAATAAATTCGAATTAATAAAATCTCACCTGCTCTATTTCAAAAAGATTTTTATCGTGTAGTGTACTACTTTTGGGACAAATAATATCATAGTAATAGAAAAGTCTACCAGTTCTAACTTAACCCAATCACTACTTTTCAGAAAAATTCATTACCAAAGTTTTTTTAACATGCAACTTCATCCCCTACTTTATATTGCATGCATAAAATATAAAGAAATGAATTTGGAAAGTGTATAAAAATTATTTGCATGTTATACACTGTCTAAACTATGGACTATATTTGTAGACAAAGAAAATAAAATCAAACTGTGTCCTCGGACCGGAAATTCATCAGTAAGTACTTGGAACTGTTTGCTACTCAGCTGGGAAGAGGCATACTGAATGACAAGATAGCTGTCAAACTTCAGATTTGTGAGATCGAACTTCACATTCTGGTTTACTTTTATACACCGTTGGTGTATTATTTGATGACTGAGTGCATAAGTAATGGTTTGCAATACAAACTCATAGATTATTCAGTGAAATTGATTGACAGTTTCGAAGTACTCTCTATCACTGAACCATTGAAACAATAATTTATTTTTATATGAAAGAGAAATTGGAGTTGCATTTTTCTTTATAATTTGTCAGTAACAAAATGTATCATTTATTTTTATGGTTTGCATTTTTGTGTATCATTTATATATTGAATATGTCTGATTAAATAATATAAATATTTGTATATTCAGGTTTTTTTTTAAATTTCGTTCGTTTGGTGTAAAACATCTCGTTTCATTTCGTTGTTTTTTTTTAAAAGAAATGTATTCCCTATTTAAATTAGGTTTGATTTAGAGTTAGATAGAACATAATTCAAAATAACGACACAATAAACCTTAAAATGATTGTTACTGACACGACATAATTATATATAGAAATACATAATGATTTAATATTGTCGTTTCGTTTATAAACGGAATTTTTTTTACTTACAAGGTGAGGGAATTTTAGTAATATATGTATAGTTTTCATTGTATCATTTCGATAACTTCCATGTGTCTTGGGAAGGGTCTGAACCTAATTTTTTAGAAAATTTAAATTCATATCTATCATTTCCTATTTTTGATCATGGTATGTTTTTTTTTTTAAATTGACTTACTTAAACAGTATTTCAAGTGTATAAAGGATCACTTAAAATATCAGATCTCACTAATTTTGTTTATATGATAAAAACGGTAGTTTTTACATTTTGAGTGACCAAAAGCGCTAAATGTTGACTTATCGATATATTCATTTGCATACGTGTTTGTCGTCAGTGTTTAGTATTTCTGGACTTAAATGGTTCTCAAAGTTCGATAACATAGGTAAGGTCACACAAAAACTGGACCAAAAGTGTTGAAACCGAAGATCAATGAGTCGAGTTGTTTTTGTGAATAATGTGTCCTGTTTTACTGTCCAGTATGTTTTGGGGTTCCTGTTATCCTACTCATATACAAGGAGGGTATTGATACTTCTTAATTAACAGTGTAAGTCCAACATCAATTAACATTTGAAAATCTTAATTGATGTTTGACTTATATGTTTCCCCTTTTATAAAGACAAGGGAAACATGTTTTGTTTTGATGCAGATTTTACGTAATTTGGCTTTATTTAAAAAAATAAGCAGGTCACAGTTTTCATTATTATTCTTTCAGACAAAACAATAAGTCTCGAGATGTAGATTTTTTTTTTAAAAGCACCAAACCGACTGTCGTAAAGGCATAATGCTGGACACAGTAGTTTTCTTATATTGTATGGACCACTAACACTTAAAAGGAAAAGTTTTTCTCAATAAAACAAATACTGTCCCCCTTGAATATTTTCATACTATTAAAACAGAAATGTTGACATTAATAACATAACAGTTTTGACAAACTTCGATAGATGGTTTAAAAATGCAATTATAAATGAAGAAATCCACTAGAGCCTACTTGATGTGGATGTAAGCACCATAAGACTTTCAACAATCAGCAAAATCCATACCGGATGTTAAACTGTAAAAGTTCCCATATTGGCAAAAATTAGAAAATATTTAAGATAGTAAATCAATGGTCTTGATTTTTGTCAATACAATAAACCAAACCAAATCTTATAGTCATCAACCAGCGACAACCATTGAATACATACATAATGTTGTCTTGATATCTCAGTTGATTTGAAATAACAACAAAGTGTGCTCGCATATACTAACACTGGCCATATTTATATTCAATATTGAAAACCTTATGCCCTTGTCATAAATCATATATTTAGTAAAGTTGTATAGTAATAATTGACAGCAATATTGGTATATACTTACCAAAAACTTGTGTTGGCTTTAATTTATTGCCAAAGATTCTTCTTTTTATTCCAAATACTTAATTTGAGTGTATCAATTCCAGTTCATCTACATAGCGGAAGTATATGTAGATTTCCGGTATAACCCGGTATGTTCTGAATCACTAGAAGTATGAGTTGACAAAAAAAAAACAATTATTAAATTGGTCAATGCAAGTTGGGTAACACAATACTAGATTGATATTTTTGTCTTTTAAAAAGTTTTAAAATAACATCACGCACAAAGTTTTTTTATGTATTGTAAAGAAAAGATTCGCAAAGGAGAGATAAGTGTAATAGTTAATATACGCCTTTGTGAAATGATATCGATACAGTAAAGAAAAAATACCACATCTATTTAGTTCAAATTACACTCAGACATACATGATACACAATCTTTAATCTAAAATTCTAATCTGTTAAGTAAAGAAAGTTAGTGTATTAATCTTAAATACCATAAACATCCTTCTATCCAGATGAGAGGATATAATCAAACTGGCATACTCGCAGTCCAGCTATCATAACACACGTTTTTATAATCTGTTTTATTTGAAGGAAGACATTGATCAAATATTTATTTCATAATTTGAAAACTCAATAAACTATTCAATTTTATTCTTTTTTATATACAAGTATAATATACTTATAACACATAAAATTGACTCACCTGTCTACACTTATCACTATTTTTTTTTTCTTTTTTTTAATTAGATAATGTAAAGATTTATATATATAGTTTTTTGAATATCGTTCTTTTGGTGTGAAATTTCTCGTTTAATTGCGTTGTTTATTTTGAAAGGAAACTTATTCCATATTGAAATTTCTAGTTATCACAATAGCTTGATTTGGAGTTAGAAATGACTTAATTCGAAATAACGACACAATCAAACCTCAAAATAATTGTTACTAACACGACATAATTATATGTAGAAACACATAATGAATTATTATTGTCGTTTCGTTTAAAAAAGGAAAATGTTTTAATCACAAGGTGAGGGAATGTTAGTATTATATGTATATAGATTCTTACATTGGTACCAGTGGATCATCGGATTAATCCAATCTCGATAGTTAAATTATCAACTTTAAAAGTCCGAACCTCGGAGAGGACTTTAAAACTGATAATTTAACTATCGAGATTGGATAAATCGGATAATTCACGGGTAACTGTAGAAGAATCTCTAATGATTTCAATTTTGATAAACTAAAATCCCTTCGAGTGCCATCCACATTCTACAAAGTTGTCAATTTCATTAACACCTGTTAGCATATTTTGATTCATCCTGCATTGTCCTGTGAGCTGATGCAGGTTATGACCCTTAAAGTCATTTAATCATCTTCTGAGATCATCGACAACCACACAATAATTATTTTTTTTAAACAGTGGTTGCGGTAAGGGTTGAATTGTCACAGAATTAGACAAACAGTTTTTATTACGTTCATTCGTAACTTTCATGTGTCTTGAGAGGGGTCCGAACCTAATATTTTAGAAAATCTGAATTAATATCATTTTCCCATTTTTTTTATCGAAGTATGTTTTTTTTGTTTTGTTTTTTTTTACTTAAACAGTATTTCTAGTGTATAAAAGATGCACCTGAAATGTCTGTTTTCAGTGATTTTGTTTATATGATAAAAAAAAACCAGTAGTTTTTGCATTGTGATTGTTTGATTGACCAACAGAGATAAATTTTGACGTATTGATATATTCATGTTTATCGCTATTTTACGAAATTTTTCTTTGATCTTGCTGACTGATAATTCCCTTTCTCAGCGGAGTCGAGTGATATGAAAAATTATGGCTAGCAACTAAGGGAACACGTGCCGTTGTCAATGAAATTAACAACGTTGTCATAGGTAAAATAGCGATAAACAGATTATCATTGGTCATCTCAACTGGATTGCTTTTCTCACTTTCGCCGTACGGGCTATTTCTTGATAATCTGTCTAAATACAAAAAAACTTAGACGTTTAATGTTGAAACTAGTTAACACATGCTCTATCATAATCAAAAAGCATCAGGAACATGAACAAGACTGCACTCTGGATTTATTTTAATGGTTTCTAATTGTCCATCTTTATGAACAAAGTCCTTGCATTATTCCTGGCATATTCTTTTCATATATTGTCTCCAATATGCTTGCCAATCAATCATAATTAAATTAGAGGCCTTTGTGAAGAGACTTTAAATCATCATTCAAATCAATTGAACATGATATCAGAAAATGTTCTAAGCAATATCATTTAGCAAGTTCAAATATTGAAAAAAATCAAATACTTTTCTTGGTATTTCATTGTATTCTAAAGAACTAAAAATTCAGTTGATTTTATTTAGTGTGACGCATAGTTCATTATTCTATTGTGCTGTATTTGTGTTATGTCGTTTATCAATTTTAAGTGTGCGTTGTTATTCTGTGGTTTACATGTTGAAATGGACTATTATATTATTTATTTATATATTTCTCTGTCCTGAATGTTCTTGCATTTATTTGTACTTTATTCCTGTTACGTAATGTTGTCATTTTAGCGATATTTTTCACATTGTTATAGAAGCGGGAGGTTTGGCTAGCCATAAAACCAGGTTCAACCCACCATTTTTTTCTGAAATTGTCCTGTACCAAGTCAGGAATATGGCAATTGTTATCACATAGTCCGTTTTCATGTATGTTGGCGTTTGTTTTAAATATAGTATAGTATAGTACTATGTACTTGTTTGGCTATATAACTATATTGATCTCTGAGCGTCACTGATGAGTCTTATGTAGACGAAACGCGCGTCTGGCGTATTAAATTATAATCCTGGTACCTTTGATAACTATTTACACCACTGGGTCGATGCCACTGCTGGTGGACGTTTCGTCCCCGAGGGTATCACCAGCCCAGTAGTCAGCACTTCGGTGTTGACATGAATATCAATTATATGGTCATTTTTATAAATTTCCTGTTTACAAAATTTTTAATTTTTCGAAAAAAACTAAGGATTTTCTTATCCCAGGCATAGATTACCCTATCCGTATTTGGCACAACCTTTTGGAATTTTGGGTCCTTAATGCTCTTTAACTTTGTACTTGTTTGGCTATATGACTATTTTGATCTGAGCGTCACTGATGAGTGTTATGTAGACGAAACACGCGTCTGGCGTATTAAATTATAATCCTGGTACCTTTGATAACTATATAGTAGTGCGAATAAAAGGCCATCGTCAGAATAGAAGCAAACTTAACTAATATAAAAAAAATTATGTTACTCATAATTTCTAAATAACATAAATATTAAAAATTTTCATCCAAGCTTTGTTGGATAGTTTTCTTTGTGCATATCATACTTTACCTCAGATGAAGTAAGTCGAATTAGAATTGTGCATCCTGCATGAAGTCAATTAACTTTGAGATGTTTTCATTGTAAATGTAATGAGGTTGAAATGAACAAATAATATTTTAGGACAAAAGTTCCGAGGTACTCTAAATTCTTTCATCAAAACCTCAATAATATTTACAAAATATTCATTTTCGATTTGAGAATTTAAAATGTTCTATGCGAAACTCAATCTCCTCATGTATCTGGGTATTTTTCTAACTCAGTAGATATTAAAATATAAAAAAAAAAATATTTTCAGTATTTATTTGATTTTTATTTTAAATTTAACAGTGATCAATCTGAAAGACAATTTGTAGTTGCATGCAATAATATTATATGGTTGGTTAGCTGAGCGATGAATAGGCAATATTAGACAACAAGCTACTCTCTGAGTGAAATATTGTATATTCATATATATATATGACCTTCAAAGATTAAAGCTCTATAATAATGAAAGATTTATAACACCGTATATCATTCTGTTTATTCTATGTGTGTGTATTGTAATGATTTCGCACCTTTAACTGACATGATCGGATAAATGAAAATAAGAGGCTTAATCAAACATAATTTGCATGGATCCTTTGAGTTGGTATTATGTTGAAATAATAACTCAAGTATAACTTTCAGAGGTACTTTATGTATCATCTATATAATCAAATAATTACAATTCATTGACAAACTTTACATTTATATCTGTATACAATATGCCGTAATCATCCAATTTATAGGTCAGGAAGGTTTGACTAAAATTACGGAAAGGTTGATTGTTTCCCGTAAGTTGCTTAGATAGAAGGTTGAACTCTTCAACCTTAAGTTACCGATATTATAAAATAATTATAAGGGTTGATTTAATAAAATATTCATTTATCTTATTTCTTTCTGTTAAAATGAAAGTAGATTTCCACAAAACCTCTCTCATATTATTGTAACGATAAAAGGTTGACTAAGTGGAACGAAGGTTGACTGGAATTTTCCCAGCCGAAGGTTGACTAATGCAAAAACAAACAATAACCATGTGTAAACCTAACGTTAGAAGGTTATGTTTTTCTTGAAATATTTAAAACCTGCGTACAAGACTTAAAGTAGATTTCAGTTCAGACATATTGCTAATAAGGTTGACTTATAAGGTTTTCGTTCTCAAGACTATGTGACTGCTCTTGCAGACGTGAGATAAAATCTAAAGTTCGTTTTGTCAACGTTCGATTTATAAATTTTTGAGTAAGTAGATCAACTAATCAAAACATTTTTTATGCAAACAAGCAATCTCGTGAAATAAACCGCCAATACACAACTAATATGGATGCTCGAGTAAATAGACTATGGCACTGTTGTGATTTTGGTGATTACGGCTAAAACACATGTTATTATATCAAGAAAATAAATCAGTTGAAAAGGTAAACATATTCTCACAATATTTATCATAAACATTCTTGCAAACCAACCGTTAATATTTTGTACGAGGTGAAAAAACTCATCATAAATACTAGGATTGAAATTTTGTATTTGCGCCAGACGTAAACATATGTCAAGTATTGGGATTGGCTAAGGGCGCAGTGATATCAACATGTATTTTTTAACAGCCGGGGTATATATGACTTTTTTTATCCCAATTTCGAATGTCAATCCATGTGAAATGAATGTCAGATATTCACAATGTGAAACCTCGTGAGTATCCTTCAATGGTACGTGTGTAATTTAAAATTACGCTATTCATACACCAATTTTATATTAACGGCTGAAAGTTTATAATAAATTATTGCATACACGAGCTAATAATTTATTTATATTCTAT